TTCATCTGATATTTACCAGCTGCAACCTTTACACACAAACTGAATTTTACCAAACCCCTCAACAAAGCTTAGGTTGGGTTGTCAGCAGACATAGTAGCACTACTTGTACTAATAGATTTTTCATAATCCAGAACATGTTTGGATTTCAGGTGCTTTGTTAGATGACATTTCCTACCAGCAACATAATCACAAAACTCACATGGGAATCCCTTCCCTAAACCATGTATATAAAACATGTGCACATCAAGACCATCTTTTCTGCAGTTGACATAATCACACAGCTTGCATTGAAATCCTTTACCCAGCCCGTGCTTAGAAAACAAGTGCTCATTCAAACGAGGTTCATCACGTGCAGAATAATCACATAGCTTGCATTTCAAGCCTCCCAAACCATGCTTTGAAAAAACGTGCCTGCTGAGGCGATCTTTACTACCAGCAGCATAATCACACAACTTGCATTTGAATCCTTTCCCCAAACCGTGTTTAGAATACAAATGATTTCGGAAATTTTGTATTTGAGCAGTAACATGGTCACACAGATCACATTTATATCCTTGCCCCAAACCATGTTCTACAAACAGGTGACGTTCTAAGTTTTGTTTTCGAGCAGTAACATAGTCACACAGATCACATTTTACACTCTTCCCTAAACCATGTTTGGAGAACATGTGTACATTGAGTTGTGTTTGTATGTCAGTTACATAGTCGCATATATTGCATTTTAATCCTTCCCCCAAACCATGTTTTGCAAACAGGTGACGTTGGAAACTTTCTTTTCGAGCTGTTACATAGTCACACAGATCACATTTAACACTCTTCCCTACACCATGTTTAGAAAACATGTGTACTTTGAGTTGTGTTTGTCTACCAATTACATAGTCGCATAAATTGCATTTGAATCCTTCCCCCAAACCATGTTTTGCAAACAGGTGACGTTGGAAATTGTCTTTTCGAGTAGTAACATAGTCACACAGATCACATTTTACTCTCTTCCCTAAACCATGTTTAGAGAACATATGTACTTTGAATTGTCTTTGTTCGCCAGTTACATAGTCGCATAAATTGCATTTGAATCCTTCCCCCAAACCATGTTTTGCAAACAAGTGCCTATGGAGAATTTGATTCTTAGCTGTTACATAGTTGCATAACTTGCATTTAAATCCAGATCCAAAATCATTCTTGTTTAACTGGAGGGCATTAAAAGGAACTTTAGAATGGGATGAATCAGCAGATGAGGAAACTTCATGCAATTCATCTGCTAATCTTCCATTGTCTTTGTTGGGCAAGTTTGACTCAAAAGACTTGAACTCAGCCGCAGGCTGATCAAAGAGAACTTCCTGGACTAAAGCTGCTCTATTGGACGCTGGAGAAATATTTTTTTCAGCAACAGAAAGATTTTTTTCATTGTTTTCAGGAGAAACTGCCATCCACTCATCCTCTCCAATGTTGCTCTGGGCATTGCATGGCAAGACATCCTGAAGATGGAGAGCAGGTTCAAGTGAGTAATTCTTTCAAATCAGGCAATGAACTCAAGTCATAAAATTAAGGCGGTGTTCAAACGTATATTAGATAAAATTATCATTGTCTTCTACACTTTTTCATGTAGACAGAATTCACAAAAAACTTGAATTATATCAATTTTGTACATTAGAACTTCTCTGATAAAAGCAAAAATCATCTTGGCAATAGTAATAGATATGACATCAGGGCACGGAACTTCTGTCAATGCAAGACCATAAAAATGTATCAAGTCTTGTCTGATGTATATACATCTCTTACAAAACAATGACATTTTGGATACCTGATACGAGGATTATATAAAAAGAATTCATCTGGAAAATAAACAGAAAGAAAGTGTGAATTCATATACATTCCGAACATAGAAAAACCTACCCAACTCTAATTCAAATGAGAAATGTATTAAAAATAGGAGCTGAAGAGATGAAATTTCACAGTACAGCCAATGCAGACAGATCATCAGCTATCATCAGCATTTGAATTCCTCAGCAATTTATTTGTACTGAGAAACCAGCTCTACCAACCTGCTTATGAGGCACTGCAGCAGTGTACTGTGAGGCGCTGGTGCAGGCCTCGTGAGCCTCAACTTGAACCTCTTTCTTGCACGGCTTGCAAGATGAGGGAAGTGGAGTTTGCTGGTCAGCACATCATGAGCAGGGACATTAGTTACCATGCGTGGATTTGGACAAAATGCATAAATTAAAGAGATACAAAAAATTGCCTAACTCAAATAGGATTATAAAAAGATTATATATGAAAATATTCAATTTAAGAACACAGAATACCACAATGAAAATAAAAAACCACAATTTAATTAAATTGATAAGCAATTCATGAATAGTTACCATGAATAAAAAATGCCTCATAAGGTTGTTCATAAGCTTTTTTGCTCTGTAAGCTTTTGCTTACTGTAAAAATACAAAACATCTACATTCTGATTGAGTTAAATTGCAAGCTAACAGATCATGTTAAAAATATCACCTCATATATTTCACTGCAAAGTGGTTCATCCTTCACAGTTATGTCCTCTCCTTCATCTTCAGGCTCCTCTTTGATGTAAACTGTCATGATGGAGGGTAGGGATGAGCTGCTGCCCTCCATTGCTGCATGGATTTTACAGAAATTAATAGCATGAGGCTACTTGCAGCTATGAATATCAACATAATACTGGACTTGTCAACATGTCAGGCTGAATCAATGTTGAAACACTGCATTTTGTGACATTGAAACCCAATTGATTATTAGTTCAGAATGGAAAGTGAATCAACATAATTTTTTCGACATTGCATAAATACTGTACGGTACCTTAATACTGTGTGTGATGAAATTCATGATGGAACATGTTAACCTGACACATTATTAGTGCACTTTTAATGCTGGAACTTTAATAAGTGCACTTTTAATGCCGGAATTCAACTAGATTTCAACATTTAAACAACGTCAAAATATATGACATTGAAAAAATGTTATTGATTCACTTTTTATTCGTTTTTTATTAACATTCAACATTATTTCAACAATCTAAAGTGGGTTCTTCCAAAATTGATTCAAGCTGATAGTGCCTGCTGAGTCATCACCAGTTATCTGCCCATCATTTCACTTCATTCACAGCATCACCCCTAATAGGCCCAAGAATTAAATATGTGCATTTAAATGAACCTTTAGACTTGGACAAGGAAATTGATGATTTTTAACATCTTTATTCGATGGAGATAGTTATACCTATTCAATCAATTTAAGTGACTTGATGGGCTAATTGAATTAAATTAAGGCTAAACAGTTACTCTATACATTTGAGTGAATGAATATACACATGTTACATAACATTTTTTTAGCATCGACCTTATTCAATAAATTCTTCAACTGCAATTTACTGTTTCAATGTGCAAAATTTGTGGAAATTCATAGGAGTAAATATATAATATGATTGAATACTTTCTATAACTGGTTTTATAAATTAGAATCTTTTTGTATTTTTTATACTTGCCCACAAAAAATTAATGAAAGGAATGTCATTTTCCATAGAATGTTTAGGAAAAACATTGACTGCTGCAAGTTGTCATTGCCATCTTACTTTACAAACTGTCAAGGGACAACAATGATAAGAACAATAAATCATGAATGTCAATAAAGGATGATATCTTCCAGATTTACAAATAAAATAGACTTGCAAGCACCAGTTGTGAAGCATACCTTCAGGCCCGAGTTTGCACACGTCAGTTGCTGCTTGAATGAGGCTCTGCTCAGGGCACCAGCCACTCCTGACTGCAGCATCTGAGAGCTGGTGCAGAACAACTCTGCACTCTTTTATACTGTATGCCATGAGATTAATGTGCGAGTATATAAGTTTAAGGTTTGCTGGGATGCACTGGAAGTAATAAGATATCTAGCAATAACCAAGTCAAACCAAGCACAAAGAGTATCTGTACAAAGAGTATCTGTAAGCAATCAAAATCAAATAAGTACCATCAAATCGGGTAATAAGTGACTGTTTTGAGCATTTTTTGTTAATAACTTCTTACCATGAAAAATTTCATAAACATGTTTTGCTCACTTTATAGATCTTTGCAAGGGCAATTATACAAATATCTCTAAAAAATTCCATATGCTATTGGTAAGGTGCCAGATGCAAAATAAAAGCCTCCCAAATTACCACTGGGAATGGGGCAATTACCATAAAATGGGGTTACTTAGACTCCCGGGGTAACTTAGACCACTTTTACTTTTTTCAACAAAAACCCCCAAAACTCAAAAAATATTTGAGATAGAAAAGTTTTGTCAATGGGCATTAAAGGCCTAATACTGAGGCTATGTAACACAATGGAAAGATAAAAAAATGATGCATATCTAATAGGTTAAAAAATGAAAAATGTTACCCATGAAAAAGAGCTATGATTTAAAACCTGTCAGAGAACTCCCTCCAATTTTTTTGGCAAAATAACTCCAGGTTTAGGTGCATTGTAGTAGAACTCTTCTAGTTACATATGCAAATGACAAATTTGAGGAAAGTGTCATAGTTTGCAAATGGGGGGCGCGGCTCCCGAATGGGGGAACTTAGACCACCTAATTTCAGCCCTGATGGGGTAACATAGACCGGCTTGGAAATTAATTTAAAATTACCATATATAACATTTTTCATGTTTGATACACCTATTAATGTCTTTTCTTTATGTTTCAGACTCTACAAAGTCTTTTATATGGTAATTTTAACTTACTTTCCAAGCCGGTCAATATTACCCCTTCACGGCTGACATTAGGTGGTCTAAGTTCCCTCATTCCGGGGCGGCGCCCCTCATTTGCAAACTATGACACTTTCCTCAAATTTGTCATTTGCATATGTAACTAGAAGAGTTCTACTACAATGCACCAAATCCTGAAGTTATTTGGATTTATTTTACCAAAAAATATAATTGATTTTACCACCCAGTCTAAGATACCCCAAGTGCTGGGGTAACAAAGACCTTTACTTTTTTTGAAATTACATAAAAACTATGAGAGGCAGGAGCCAGCAATTTATGGTAAGTGAACCTAGAGTATAGACCTGTATTTTGCATGTTTCAATTTAAGTTTAACTTAGCTAGTAAAAAAATTGCATCATTTTTTTTAAAGTGGTCCAAGTTACCCCATTTTACAGTAGGGACAATTGAAATAAAACAAGATTTTAAAATGTTTGAAGCATGCAGAGTGTAATCATTAATTTTCAACAGTACTCCAAAGTCCTCCTCTTCCTTTTTAAATGGTGTAGATGTAGAATAAATGACATTTACTGCACTTTGTACTTGTTTTTCCTTGTTGATATGATATAATCACATCCATATGTTACAATATTATTGATGTGATACAGTACCTATTACCATATCCATGGACATGCCATTGAGCAGTTACAACAACCTTGTCCACTGCAAGCTTCATATCAGCAGCCATCTAGCATTTCCTCTTTATTTGTAAGCTTACAGGACTGGGCTTGTAATTTTGGACAATTTTAATAGGGTCAAGTGAATTCACTATAACAAAAAGATTATAAAAACATACCTGGAACAGAAAGGAATATTTCAGTGAGAACCATCATATTTTTGGAGAAATAAATCATAGTTTAGGTTAATTACTTTTATTCCATGTTGCTCAGTGCACAATTCTATTGATGACATTCTATGCAAAATTTTGTGATGAACGATGATGCACTAATTCTTTGGCAAGTGAATTTTTTTGCTGAATGAGGTAAATGCAATCAAAATTCTTAGTTTTTAATCAATTTTTTTGTTAACTGGAGCCCTTGCTAACCAGGGTTCTACTGTAAATGCATTTTTAGTGGTGTCCCTCATTATCCTGGGGGTTCATCCCTCATTATCCTTTATTACTCCATCTTGCAGAAATGGCCACCATTTTTTTTTTATTGAACTATGTAAATTTTGTCAATCACATTTTTAAGCCAACACCTGTGTGCAACATTTTTGCAAGTTAAATTTTTTAATACAGCAAATATTTTTTCTTGCTACAGACCTTAACAGAGTTACTTTTTAAAAATTCAATTTTTCACTTTTTTCAGGGATTTTTGTAATGTACAATTTCTTAACTTTCATTTTGCTACATTGTTAGGCATAATACAAAACAGCAAACAAAATTGAACTTTTATTTCAGAGATGACTGGTCCAAATCTTGAGAAAGCAGGTGCATTCTCAGAATATTGAGGATAGAACCAAGTCCCACAAATCAGCAATTGGTAGCGGTTCCATTACAGGTTATTGACGTTATACCGACAAATAAACCTGGCCCAACATAACTGTAGAAGTAAGAAGTAACTTTTAAATTTTACAATTCTGCATTACAGCAATAATATTCCAATATCGCATTTAGTTTCAATAATACATTCACAGAAGCCAATTTAACACACCATGACAAACTAGAGGATCAGAAAGTCCTAAAAAAATCGAAGGTTGTTTCCCACCAAAACTGCAGTTATTCTATTGAACAAAAAGGGTATGGCTGTAAAATAAATGGTAACAATAATATAAACTCAGTACTAGCCTAAATGTATGTCACACTATGACAGAATAGCATCAGCTCGCACCAACCATAAAATCTTTAGCCACCAAGCGGTTAAGCTGTAACTTCAAGAGGCATGTAAAGAGGCCATGTAAAGGGAAATAATGGAAGTAGAAGGAGAGGCAGACTCCAAAGCAATAATAAATTTAACTGGAAGAACTCAGTTATTCTAATCAAGGTAGGAATATTTATCGAGGTATTTAATTTAGTTAATAAGCCTATGGCCAAGGTGGTTATACAACAGTAAATGGCAATGCCCAGGATTAAGTCGGAGTCTGCCTCCTAAATAATATACCTTTAAAAATTACTTTTTAAAGACAACACTTCCAAAGAATCCAGTGTCTCTAATCTTACAGATGTACAATGAATTTCTCATTCAATTTTCAAATATTAAAAAAATTAATTTTTAAATTTTTTAATATATAAATTTTTTTAATAGTACATAAATTTTTTCAAAATTATTTATTCTATCGGTTCATGCATTGCCTCTGACTTCACACAAATGTGCAAAATTTCAGATCAATTATACAGGTAAAAGTATGTCAAATATCAGTAATAAGATTTGTAGCTGACAAAATTATTTTTTCAATTTTTCTAATACCTATTGAAAATTTTTATTTTTATTTTT